CAAAGATACATAAACCTAATGCCCCTCTCCCTCTCATAATATCAATGTGCAAATTGCCAATCCACAAACTTGCAAAGTGGCTAGCAGGAATATTAAAGCCTATTAGACGAAGCTTCTGTAAGTTTGTATTTAAAGATTTTTTCGGTCAATCAATTTTCTTAATAAAGTTGATATAAAGGACGAAACCATGTTTTCCTCAGGCGTTGGTTTTTCATTTACAAATGCGTCTCTGTTACAGATGGTTGACATTTCATGTGACTACATCTCTAATAACTATTTCTTATTACCAGTGTCCATATATTATGGTAAGCTCCTTAGGTCCACTGTTAGCTGATATACACATGTAACATGTTGAGAACCTATCTGAGGACGTAACTAACTGGAAGAGTTTATTTATTATAAAAGATTCGTGGATGACGTAGTGGTCAATTGTGACTAACCAACAGATTCCATGGAAATCCTTAACCAGACCAATAGTGCATAAAACGGGATATCGCTAACAGACGTAAAAGAGAATAGTGACTGCTAGCCATATTCATAATTCGCCAAAAAGATGGGCCAATTAAACGATCCTCACCGATGTGACAGAATCTAAATTATGGCAGTTTCTGTCCACTACAGTATAAAAAAGCATTGGTTAAGTGTTTGTTCAGAATCATTCGTCATATATGTATAACCAACACCATGGAAGATAGCAACTATTCATTGAAATTCATTAAGCTGCCAAGAAGTGGCTGCAACAAATAAAATCACCGGACAACATCATCACCATCAATGCACATCATAGAGGCAGGTTGATTTCAGTACTGTCTGTAAACCCATCAATAAAGCAAGGTTGGGTCACATACTTCAGTTCGTTGAAGCCTTGGCTATAGAAAGGTTTAGACCTGTCTTGTATGTCTGAAAATTACTTCTTTTTTCTTTAAACTTGCCTTGGTAACCCAATTTAGGACCAAGGTCCGATTTATTCAATGATATCTTCACCATCTCCCTTCTGTTCTTTCCTACACCACACCCTTACGTCATCTTCCCACCCCTTATTTGTGACTCTGATCCGTGCACGATTTCGTGTGTATTGTAATAATCCATGCTATCTCGCCTTCTATTTAAATCAGTGAGACAAGTACGTGTGTGATCAGAATGTCCGAAATGTGTTAGGCAGATACATTACATGTTTCAGTTAAACTATATCTTCTTATTGTTTTGTCGAAATTCATTAAGAGAACTGATTGTACGATACGATGACATGGGCGTGTTTCCGTTCACATTTGAGGATATAGCTGATAGAAGGATGTTAGCAAATGAACTCTGCGACGATTTTCCAACCTAGAGCGTCAACCTGAGAAGGGTTGTAGGCGTACTGCTGTAAGTCCTACAGTTCTTCAAAGGTAGTTTGCCGTGCCAGAATACACAACATTTGATGTGTTGATTGTACATAGGTTTGTGCTAAACAATTGTGTGAGTTCCAATTATTGTAATTGTTGGTTAATCTTGTTTGTGTCTGGACATTCCACAAATTACAATCGTCAACCTGAGAAGGGTTGTAGGCGTACTGGTGTAAGTCCTGTGATTCTTCAAAGGAATTCCATCAAGATGAGATCCGCAAGTTTTTGTGTACAGTTTGTATATACGTGTGTTGTGTCATATCAATTGGTTGTATTTGAATTCATTGTGTTTACTCGTTGTTTTCGTACCTTGTTTTTATTGCATAATTTTGTTGAAATTTTCGTCGTGATTACTTCTGAAGTTGTTTCGAGTCTTCTACATCCATGAATGAATTGATTGATGTTAAGGACAGTAGATGGGTCGTATACGCCGGGGAGGCTAGGCCATTGCTGAGAATGAAATGCCCACGGAGATAATTGTTAGCTGCGTTCCGACACGCCGGGGAGAAGGAGTGTAAACGATTGAGGCTCGCATGCGTCACCGCTATTAGAACTGACGCAGAATGACAACCCGGGTTGATTATGAAAATGCTCTGAAGCTTTTTAAGAAGGTGAATATACCATCAGTGTAACAACAGAAGACAAGGGCCAGGCAACAGATCGTTTTATTATGAAAATCAACACGTATTTTATACATCTTTCAACTACATTATTATAGACAAGCGCAGTCATCTGATTGGTTGTTTAGGTAGACAAACGCAGGCTTCTGATTGGTTGTTTACTCAGGCTTGTTCATATTTTCTCACGGCCCATATTAGTGACCTAGACCTTAACGTAGATTAGTGCCAACCAATCGGCTAGCAGCCTGCTCTCACCACACTCGTCCCCCGTCAAATACGTGCGACTGAAGTCGGCTTTATCTACTTGGTGCAGGCGTCATCGTTGGCTTGTCTCGCTGTATCCATTTCTGGAGCTCGCTGACGTTCACGCGCCTCTCATTGTTCGCCATTGCGACTGTGTCTGCGTAACCCCATCTCGAAGTGACCATATATGGTCCTTCCCACTTTGGAAACTGTTTGCCTGACCCTGTCGAACATTCGTCCATACTTCGGCTCACACTTTCATATGCTGCTTTCACCCGACCTCCCAGCAGCGTCCCAAGTAGCAGCTCCATCGCTGACAGATCTTGAACGCCACTCAACTGCGCAGAAGCCTTGAAGTCCTGCCCGAAGATCCATATGTCTCCATCAAAAACTGCAGGGTATAGGCTTTTCATTTGTCGGTAGGCAGCGACACCAAATGTAACAACAGAAGACAAGGGCCAGGCAACAGATCGTTTTATTATGAAAATCAACACGTATTTTATACATCTTTCAACTACATTATTATAGACAAGCGCAGTCATCTGATTGGTTGTTTAGGTAGACAAACGCAGGCTTCTGATTGGTTGTTTACTCAGGCTTGTTCATATTTTCTCACGGCCCATATTAGTGACCTAGACCTTAACGTAGATTAGTGCCAACCAATCGGCTAGCAGCCTGCTCTCACCACATCAGTATGTCTGCTATCATTTGAAAAAACATGTTGTGAGAGAATGTAAGTAAAACAAGGTTGAGCCGCATGAAAAGTATGAATCTGTCGTGCTTGTGTGTATTTTGGGGAACTAAAAGAGGCTGGAACCCTTAAGGGTAAGTGTTACTTATGCTTATTATTGCTTAATGTACTTGTCAATCACGTCTCACAAACCGTCAATGCCCAGCTCTCGCTACGCTCGGGCCCACGCTGTTCCTTTGAGTTTTCAGAAACGCTTAGTTATAACGGACGAAAAAACCAAAACACCGATCTGCCGTTTGATATTTCTGTATTGTTACACCAACATATAAAAGGAATAAGCGAACTAAGCAAACTAAGGTCTGAAAACAAATATTACAATAATAAATCATTGTATTACTTCTGACGATGTTTCACTCTTCTTTCTGAACAGCGACCGATGAGACGATGACTGTCGTATTGATGCCTCCGCGAAAATTGGGGAAGTTGATTTTGAGCAAACAACCATGAATTGATCGTTCAATCTTCAACTCCATTGACAGTACTAGATCCAAGTACATGAACTAGGACTGGGCGTAATAGAGCCAGTGTTAACATCCATTCGATGGGTTGCAAAACTGTTTTCAAAGCGGATAAAATACGATGATCTGGTGAGTGTACGAACTATCCCATTTAAAGGTAAGACATTAATTAGGAAGAATGACGTTTCGGGTTGTAATCTACGAACTGTGATTTCCTCGAAGTTGCGATTTTTCCGTTACTATAAACACGGATGTCCACGATCTTTAGAAAAACTAAATAAATTTTCCTTGAACCAGTAGTCTTCTTTTCTTCGGCGAAACATCCGTTAATACGATTAGGTAGCGAAGTAGGATGTTCTGTGACTGAGAATCGTGGTTGTTGTGTTTCTGACTATTTTCGCGCATCTGACTGTTATAACCGCATGGATATAGCGTTTTCCTAATGGTACATTATGATATCTAGAAATCATAAGCACGCTGCCATCGGTAAATTTATTTTTCCTTTTTAAATGACTGCAAATAGTGAGTCGTTTGAGGTGATAGGATAAATATCTTTGAACGTTTTTGGGGAGAATAGGGTATATTTAATTTTTTCGACTAAGGGATTATCTTTTCATCAAGAAAGTTCTCAGAATTACCGCTCTTCGTTATTCAAAGATAACGTTAAGTCCCCCACTAAGGTGGTAGCTATAGGAGATTACCTTCAGTGGAAACTATATTAAGGTAGTTTCAGGTAATGCGTCATAGAAGTAAGCAGCGTAGGTTAATTGTGTCTAAATGTATTAAAAGTTGTATAACTGATCAAACCATAGTTCTTACGTACGAGTGGAAAGCAAATGTGGGGTCTATGAAGGTGCAGCGAATTTAGCCCCATTGTCTACACTGGAGAAAATATTGTGATACAAGACTGCAGCTGCATCTAAAGTACTTCTACTGTGTTTATAGGAGAATTTTTTGGGATCGTTAAAGGCCTCAAGTGAAGGCCGAAGACTGAGTAAGAGTAAATTTTCCTTAGTTCGTATATACGTCATTTACATTGAAACCAAGGAAGCAACTATTATTAACACTTGTGACACCAGAAACCTTAGCATTTGTGGGAGAATTTATGGAAGACTTGTTTAGTGTACACACATCAAATGAATAGGGAATACTGGAGGTAATTAGATGCATGAAGGCGTAAGTTATTAAATATCCATAAAGTATATATGCAAATACCGCAGTTGTTGATCATAGAAATGATGGATATTAGATAACATCGCATGATTCAACGGCATATTAGAAATAAATAAATATTGTTTCTTAGCTGATTGTCAAGTGAATAGTCTATTTGATGATGTCACTGCATATTAACAGATTAGTGAAGTAGCTATCAAGCCTAAGTTACTACATTTACTTGTACTACATACTTGGCGTTTAACAGTATACAGACTTGCAACTGGCTAGATAAGGATACTTTAGCGTATTGAACAGTACAGAATTATTGTTCAACTTGCTAAATCCCACTTAGCTTTTACGATGTGCTATTGTGTAGAAACACGAAATCCTATTAATGACTAAAGTAGTTTTCTTATAATACTACATAAATCTCCATCCCACTAAGTAAGCCTAGCGTATATTATTCCTAATTCACTTATTACAAAAGCACGTAGTATAGCAAACAATTGAAAAAGTCCAGAGGAATTACAAATCAAGAGTATATTAAACATTTGATTAGTTTACAAAAGAAAGTTCTGATGAACAGTATTAACATTAGTTTGACGGAATGGTATTTCCGTTGATTTCGAATTCGACAACCTTTGTATACCTGGAAAAAATAAAGTACATGTATGAACTAGCATAACATGAAGTTAACAAGAGATAATTCTACATATTAGCATACAATATGAATACAATCATTCTGTTAAAACTAAGTATTATCTCAGGGAGATAAATGTATTTGTAGTCTACAGCTGATTTTTATGTTGACGCCATATGCATACATCATATGTTTTCCTGCATTTGAAGATTATACGCAAATTTCAAGGCAATCTCCGAAACATCCATACTATTGAGGCGTCATTCTCTCACTAAGCTTACTTGCAGATCAACTTCACGCTAAATACTTTTACATGAAATGAAGTATTGCGAATATATAACTTAGAAATTAATCCACAATCTCAGTAATGTCTAGTCCACAAGGTTTTGTGAATCCTACAGAAATCACATTTTCACATTTAGGAGACTATAGGTATCAAATATAAGCTGAACATGCCTCAACTCCAGACAGCTATGCACAGTGCTAACAACGTAGTGAAACACTTCAACTATTGTGAAGTACACAGACCTGTTGTGTTGTTGAGGATAATAATGTCATATTATGCAAACTAGAAAATTCAATCGTCACAGCGCATCTGTACTGCTTTGTCTAAATGGAAATCTCAGTAGAAATTCATCTCCACTATTGGTGATCAAAAATATTGCAGCATTGAGTATACAGTCAGTGGAAATTTTAAAAGAGAATAAATTCATATTAATGATAATAAAGCTGAATAGTATCAGTTCTCATAATCACACGACTCATGCGTATAATCATACCGTGTAATGATTTAGCGCATTAATTGGAACATTAAGGAAATTTAAACGAGTAATTGCCTTCTCCACTGCACCGTACTGGCAATAATCGTGATAACCACCTTCGTTTGTTATCCTATCAGTCAGGTAAGTAGACAATGGCCCAATATTATTACAGTTGAGATATTTTTGTACATTTAATTAACATAACCCATAGCACACTGCACCAACCAGTGCCAATATATATGAAATCCATTTAGAGATAACCTTTCAACTTACCATAATTCCTGTCCAACCACAGATAAAGTGAAAAGCACATCTAAATGACAACTTAGGTTCCCACCAACGATTCTGATAACATTTGCAGGTGATTTCCAAGTATTGAGAGAATTATTTTGTCAAAAAAGACTGTTCTTCACACAAAAATAGGCTGTATTGATATCCTGAGACATGAAGTCTTCATTGAATGATACAATGCCGAAAGATGCAGCTTCTACATGGAGTAAATGAGTGGTGTAAATGGCATTACCCTCTAATTATCCTATCTCCCTCATTACACCGATATTTTTATACATTCCATCTGAAACACTAATCATTGCAACCAATATGCTAATGTAACACCCAGAAGCAACAGACACAGTCAGCGAAGGAAGAAGAGGAAGATGCGAGAGGAAGGTCTATATTTCCAGCACGCAGGGCTCGAATTGCCCGGGTACAAGCTAATCAGTGTCATTTATAACAAGGTTAGACAAACAGTCCTCCACCTGTTCCAGCACGGCCAGGCCAGCGTTCTTATCTGAAAAAGAGGAAACAGGAGACTCATTTAGTGATGTCATGTTAGTTTTTATATCATTACATCGCTCCCTCCCCTCTGGAGGCACTGTCCTCAGTGCCTGGCGGCGGTATAGGGTATGCACTACCTCCATCAGTGGGCACCTCGAAGTAGGTCGTAGCTGGTGGCGGTTGCGAAGATGTCGACGGTTCTTTGACAGCTGGTGGATAGTGTGGTTTCAGCTGGTTGTAATGTGCTGAGATGAGATTTTCCTGGGGGCGTCGCAAGTTCCGCAGGACATATGTAGTTGGAGGTCGGTGTTGTACGATTTCATATGGACCTTTCCAGGGGGCGTAGAACTTGGGGCACGAACCGGCAGGGACTGACGGCCGATGAAGCCAGACGTAGTCACCTGGGGAATAGGTTGGTCCGTGGGCAAACCGATCATAGTTGCTTTTCTGATGCTGCGAAGAAGACTGCAGATGTCGACGTGTTAGGTTGTAGGCTGTGTCGAGGTGGTGACGAAGGTTGCGGACGTAGGGAATACAGTCGATCTTCTCGTATGGTAGCAACGGTGTCCGGATCTCAACAGGAAGGCGAAGTTCATGCCCAAACAAGAGTAGAGCCGGGGAAAATCCGGTCGACGAATGCACGGAGGAGCGGTATGCAAGCAAGCATTGAGGCAGGACATCGTCCCAGGTGTTCTCCGGTGCGTTGTGCAAAAAGGCACGAAGGAGATGCTTGATGGTTCGGTTGGTGCGTTCCACCAGTCCATTCCCTTGTGGATGATAAGGCGTAGTATGGGTCTTTCGAATGCCGAAAGCATTGCAGATGTGAGAGATAAGAAGACTCTCGAAAGCAGCGCCTTGATCAGAGTGTAGATAAAGAGGGGCACCAAAACGGGACACCCAGTTGTCGATGAAAGCTCGCCCGATCGTCAGGGCATCTTGTTGCTGCAAGGGGACTGCTTCGCACCACTTGGTGAAATAGTCGACCATGACAAGTATATAACGATTCCCGCGTCTCGATGTTGGTACTGGCCCAATGATGTCGACTCCAACTCGATGATTAGGGGCTTCGGTCAGCATAGGTACTAGGGGTGCTCGGGGAGTTGGCTTAGGCTGTTTGATTTGCGCACATATAGTGCAATTGCGGCAAAACTCCATAACATCATGGTGTATAAGTGGCCACCAGAAGCGTTGACGGATAGCGTGTTCAGTTTTCTGTTGGCCAGCGTGTCCCAGTTGATGATGCACCTGACTAATAAGCTCGGGTACTTTAACAGTTGGGACGAGGAGTCGGGGGTTGGCTTTTGGTTCCACTATGTAAAGAACATTATCTATAAGTCGTAGTAAACCCCACTTCTCGCAGATGCACCGCGTGGCTGCTGGTAAATCCCGTAGTTCTTTGGACGTCGGTTTATCGTTCCCATGCTGTTGACGTAAATAAATGGGCTGTATCGTTGTGTCCGCCGCTTGCAGGGAGGCCCAGTCGGTGTCAGCTGCAGCACCGAGTAACACATTCAGTGTGTTCTCGCAATCGGGCAGGCGAGAGAGAGAGTCGGCGTTACCATGTCGTTTTCCAGGCCGGTATTCACAAATGAAATCAAACTCCTGTAACCGTTCCTGCCAGCGGGCAAGTTGGCCGTCGGCATCACGAAAATTTTGCAACCACTGTAACGCCTTGTGGTCAGTCCGGACTCGAAATTTGCGCCCCAATAAGTAATGACGAAAGTAGGAGAGGAAGTAGACGAGGGCTAGCATCTCACGTCGCGTCGTCGAATACCGCGTCTCTCTTTTGTCTAGCATCCGACTAGCATATGCTATCACTCGTATTTGTCCGTCAGAGGTTGTTTGCGAGAGAACGGCTCCTATTGCATGTGCACTGGCGTCGGTATCCAGAATGAAGGGCCCGCTACCAGCCGATGTGTCTGGAAACGATAGGACAGGGGGAGAAGTTAGACGTTTTTTAAGCGTGTCAAAGGCTACCTGGCACTCATTTGTCCAAACAAATTTCCGTCCTTTTTCTGTCAAGCGATGGAGAGGGGCTGCTATACTGGCGAAATTCTGGACGAAACGCCGGTAATAGGAGGCGAGTCCCATGAAACTGCGTACGTCAGTGGTCGATTTAGGGGTCGGCCAGTTAAGAACTGCTTGAGTTTTGCTGCTATCCGTATGTACTCCTTGTGGAGTAATCTCATGTCCAAGGAAATTAACAGATTTCTGCAGGAATTTGCATTTCGAGGCTTGCAGCTTAAGGTTACTCTCGCGTAAGCGTTGAAATACGGCGCGAAGGTTGGCATGATGGTCTTCGAGAGACTGGCCGAACACGATGATATCGTCCAGGTAGATGAGGCACTTTTTGGGGACTAGCCCTGCAAGTACTGTTTGCATGAGCCGTTGAAACGTAGCAGGGGCGTTAGACAGGCCAAATGGCATGGTTTCGAATTCGTACAGCCCCGTAGGCACAACGAACGCAGTTTTGGGGCGGTCTTCTGGGCGAATTTCAACTTGCCAATAGCCGGAAGCGAGATCTAGTGTGGAAAACCACTGTGCCCCACCTAAAGCATCTAAGGTAGCGTCGATGCGAGGCAAAGGAAAAGAATCCCGTTGTGTGATTGCATTTAAGCGGCGATAGTCGACACAGAGGCGGAGAGAACCATCTTTCTTTTTCACAAGAACGATTGGAGATGCCCACGGTGACGTAGACGGTTTAATCACCTTCTTTCGTAACATATCTGTTATCATGGTATCCAACTGCTGTTGGTAATGAATGGGCACTCGTCGCGGTGGCGTCCTAATGGGCAAGTTATCACCTGTCTGAATCTCGTGCTGTACGATATTAGTCCGCCCCATCACTTGCCCATCGTCAAATACACAACTGTACTCCTGTAGCAGGGCCAGGGTGTCGGTACGGTCTTTTAGACTGAGGTGGGGGTTATCATGGATGTTCACCACTGTCATCTGAGGTAAAGCACAAACATTAGCACTCTGGTTGCGGTTGACTGGTCGGCGACATGCGAGGTTATGTGTACCCAGCCGAATTTGAAAGCGTCTTAGGTCAATGACAGCGTTTTTTTCAGTTAAGAAGTCCACGCCCAGTATGGCGTCCCATCGTATGCCATCACAAATGACGAATGACTGGACACAAGTAAAACCTGGGAACGTCACGGAAAGTGTGGCCATGTCTGTTACCTCTATAGGGGCTCCATTGGCGGTAATTAACTGGAGCTGATTGGGGAGAGGTTGAGGTTTGACCCCAAGTGTCTGGACCAATTGCGTGCGAACAACAGAGGATGATGCCCCGGTGTCCACCAGAAAAGTGACGTCAGTGCCCTGGAGTTTACCTTCAAGGAGGAGGGGAGATTTCGAGCAATTATCAAATAATGGCACATAAGAACATGGCTCACCTTGCGGTTTTTTGTTATGCCCACATTTCCATGCTCGCCGCCCGAACCGGCGACAGTAATAGCACTTACTGGGGTCATCATGCTGCTGGGACGGAATTGGAGGTTGGCTTGACGATGGAGCATTAGGCCGGCGTTGTCGTGATGCTGGGACGGTTGTTCTTCGCTCGGTGGTCCCGAGAGCATAGCAGGGCGTACTGGCAGCTGGAGTGAGAATATGCTCGACGCTCTCGAATCGCTTTACCACCTCAATGGCCTCTGAGACTGATTTTGCTGGCTGGCGTAGAAGCTGGCACTTCAGCTCATATGATGAGACACCTTGGGCAAAACGGCTACAGATAACATCATCTTGGTTTGGGTTGGGAAGGCTGGGAAATGCGCGCGATGCCATCTCGCGGAGTTGATGCAGGTAATCGAACGCTGTTTCGCCGGGCTCTTGACAGCGGCTGAGAAAAGTGTGCATGTACACCGAAGGGCTGGAGGTTTTGGCGAAACATTCGTCGAGGACACGCCAGTTGTAGCTGATGGGTTTGGACGCGGAGAAGCCCCCAGCGATAGCACGACGTAGTGCGGTGTCACTCATTGCTTGCATGATCTGAGTATATTGAGCGTGTGGAGTAAGACCGGATAAGAGAGGCTCCACGCGAATCTTCCACATTTCGTAATCGCTGTTCAGGTCCAACGTTGGTAATCCTCGAACCGGGAAGATGTGTTCTGTGGCTGGGGATTGTGGGTTGACTTGTGGGGTGGAGAAGATTGCAGGAGGATCGGAAGAATCTGATTTCATTTCGAGATTGAGTTTTGGACACCTCCGACACCAATTGTAACACCCAGAAGCAACAGACACAGTCAGCGAAGGAAGAAGAGGAAGATGCGAGAGGAAGGTCTATATTTCCAGCACGCAGGGCTCGAATTGCCCGGGTACAAGCTAATCAGTGTCATTTATAACAAGGTTAGACAAACAGTCCTCCACCTGTTCCAGCACGGCCAGGCCAGCGTTCTTATCTGAAAAAGAGGAAACAGGAGACTCATTTAGTGATGTCATGTTAGTTTTTATATCATTACACTAAAAGTGTGTCGCAGTCAGATCACATGACGCGGACACAAAAATAACAAGCAAAAATGGGAATTTCCCTCAATCTAGATAACATATAATACAATTTTATTAAAAATTATTGGCAAAAAAATTTCCAAGCGGAATTCAACAGTACGTGATATATAGGTCCAGCCCATTTACTGCAATGAATTCAGCTCATAGCGGTGAGAAATTATTGATCACCCGAATCACAATATGCGTGGGAATTGATCGATCGCATAATCAGTCACAGTATGCGTGTGAAAGGATGATATACTATTTTATGCGTGATCCTATCAGCTTTATGTTGAGGGGCTTTCCTTTCTGCTGTCCTGTTTCACCCAACATTTCCTTACTAATTTGCTGCCAAAGTGTCTTCGGAATGGTTCAGAGTCCCTCCTTACGATGACAACTCATGATTCCTACATTCTTCCGACGACCATTTTGGGAGTATTTTTCGCAACTTTGTACCTCTGTTTCCGGGTGATGAACTCCACTTGTGGTGTATCCCCGAATAGTATAAAGCCTTTAAACCTGATTTTGACCTCGCTAACGGTCTACACCCGTCTCTGCTCCTTTCTCTCTAAGCTAAAATCTCTGCTTTCTTGGGGCTACATTCACATCACCCGTCAAAACTTTAGTGTTGCTATCCGCCTGGGGTCTTGTCCGTTACCGCTTGCTGTGTGCAGGATTACTGTTTCTTTCAGCCTGCGTTGTTTGTAGGGGTGTAGGGCTGGGTGACCAACGTTCCGTCCTCTAAAATTGAAACCTGCTGCCTTTATCTTAGAGGGGATCGGCTTTTGTTCCATGAGAGCATTCAGTGGCATTACTGACATTAGGCTAGTCACACTATTAGTTAGCCCACATCTGTACTCAAGAGGCTAGAGTGGATGTTTGAAGCCCAGGTTACTTCATATGAAATATCATCAAGATTTGACCGAATAGTTCCAAAATGATTGGGCGCCGAGTCAGAAATGGACATCTGTAAAATCTCAGCAAAATTGGAATGATTAATTCCACCGTTTCGTTCGGGAACCCGATCCGAACTTCTTCAGGGAAATTAAACGAAGTTAACATCACGGAGGCTTTTATTATTAAAAGGACATCTCTTGTTTTAGAAACTTTGTTCAATCATATGAGTCATGAAACAGGTATCAACATGTATAACAAACAAAACTGTATGACTGTGATCGACATTTAACATCAGACTTTCAAAATTAGTCTAGTTTTGTTGAGTAAATTAAACGGAGTGTACTCTCCATCAGATTATGTTAAACTAAAAGTTCATGGTCGTAGATAACTGAATATGAAAATATATGTGTATATGCAGTATACAATGGTCTGTGTATGTATGTGTGTGGGTAAACAGTCATAAAACAATCGTCTAAAATTGGTTCCAAAGGCCTCTGCATAATCAAAGAAGCTAGAAAAATTCAGCGATTGCACTGCATTTGATAGAAACGGGACACAAAATCGACTTTGGTAAGACTAATTTTCCACAGAAAGGTTTCGGTTGGTATAAAGAAAGGCTGACCGCAGAAGCTCTGAATATATGGGCGAATCCCAACAGTTAGAACAAACGTGAAGGTGTGATGTTAGCTGATGCGTAGCAAATCCCTATTAATAAATAAAACTTGGATATATATCAATAATTAATCATATTTGGTCAAAATCCCTATTGCTCTATCTTCTTGTGGAGAGGCTAACAAATGTTTTATGACTGTTTACCCACACACATACATACACAGACCATTGTATACTGCATATACACATATATTTTCATATTCAGATATCTACGACCATGAACTTTTAATAATAATAGTATATTCTCATTTTGTACATGAGAGACGCCAGTTTACAGGCATCATCAATATGATAAATTACATATACGATTAGCAATCATACTTAATAATAATGTTTTAATAAAATACACATTTTTCCTGCTTGTGTAGGACACACCAAATATACAGGCATGGGTAAGCATTATTTAAATTTCATAAATTCGGTTTATGGTTAAGTTACATGGTTCCTGGCGTTTTTATCTTAGGTCTGTGGGAACAATATGATAACCAGTCATTCAATGGAGAACGTCATGAAATATAGGAATATTGTCTTCGCATTAACAAAAAAACCCAAGTAAGTTTTGGATGGATTAAAAATACTTGGGAAAAAATAAAGCTTGAAGTAATTCCTCAATATAACTTGGGTGTGTACAAATCCGAATCTTATTTTTGATTTGATTTATATCCAAATTGGGTAATAAGGAAGCTATTTTACAGATACGATCAGTTATGTTATAAGTTACAATCGTGACGTTGTATTACAAATAGATACTTTTCCATTGGTATAAGAGTATATTCCACAAATGTAATCCAGGTTGCGTCGTGGAGAAAGTTAATTCGTTATTAACCAGGCAACTGAAAGATACGGGACCAATAATGTTTGCAGATCATTTGTCATTGTAAATGGTCAAATATCCACATTATTCATTCTCATTCAAAAAGTCAAATGGAAGCTGAAATGGTGAGAGAAAAAGGAAGACAAACAACAGCAACGCAAAAGAAAGCAACGGGAGTCCTTAAGGAGTGATTAATAAATATATACATATATATTCTGTTTAGTAACTGTGGTTATTTTGGTACACAAACTAACTAGTCCCGTTATGCTAACTTTTATATTATGTGTAAACTAATATTACTGTCCTGTGTAGAAATGTTAATCATCTAGTTCCAATAATATTAAAATTTATAATTGTAGTTTGTTGTAACTACACGTTTAAAGAACTTAAAATATCTATGTAGGGTGAAAAAGAGGGTGTAAGAGTCAGATGTAGAAGTGCATTGTCATCTTTGAGCAGTCTGGTGACTGAGGAGATGAACACTGGAAGTGTGTTTGCATCGCGCACATTAGCTGGTAGTCTATTCCAAATGACTGAAAACTTATTTAAGAAGAAGTTGTACCGCACGTAAGTCTGACAGTGCTCCATAGCAGCTAGGTTGTGATGATTTCTAAGATTGTAACTGATGACAGCGGTAGGTTTAGTTATTGGCTCGGAGGAATGCAAGAGAAGATTAGTTAGCTTGTAGTAAAAGATAAGGTTTAGCTTAAGGCGTCTTTTCCAGAGGGGTTCTAATCTTAGTCTTCGCATCGCTCATGGTATTCCAGACCACTTTCTAAACCAAGAGTTCTTGAGGTAAACTGCCGTTGCACTCCCTCTAATTTAAGCTTGTCATTTTGTCTGAGTCCGCTAAGAATAAACGGGCAGTATTCTAAGATAGGTCGGACACATACTTTGTATAATAAAACCCTAGTTTCACAACAAAAGAAATTGCGTGTTATGCATCCTATCAGCCTTCGCGTTTTACGTCTGGCATAATCAGTCTGTTCAGCGAACGTTAGGTTACTAGAGTATCTAATACCGAGATCTACGACTGAGTTGAGCTTAGCTAGTTTTCGCCCATTTATTTCAAGAGTTAGATCAAGGTTACTGTTGCCGATACAAATCCAGCCGCATTTGTCAATGTTAAAGTTTAGACAGGATTCAGCACACCACGTTGCAAGGCTACTTAGTTCAAGATGTATTTTATTTACCATATCGCTTAATTCATGAGTGTAGCAGGAGTAGACGACTTTGAGGTCGTCAGCATATAGGAATGGTTTACCTGAGGTGAAGCACTTGCAAATGCTGTTAATGTAAACTGTGAATAAAAGTGGACCTAGGACACTACCTTGCACGACCCCACTTGAGATCTGCCTAGGATGAGACAATACAGATCCAACTTTGGTTATTTGTACCCTGTTGCTTAGAAATGATTTTAACCAGTTCAGTAATGGGTTGCGAATTCCACAAGAGTACAGCTTCTCAAAGAGAATACTGTGAGATACCATGTCAAATGCCCTAGATATATCGAAGTAGAGAACAACGACTAGCTTACGTGCTTCGCGACTACTAGTGATGCAGTTGAAAAAGTCGAAGTGGCAAGTAACGCAGGATCTATTTTTGAGAAATCCGTGTTGAGACCTTGTAACAAGATCTTCCCTAATTAGGTAGTCTGACAATTGATCTTTTACAACTTTCTCCATGATTCGTGAGATAACTGGGGTTATATTTATGGGTCTGTAATTGCGGACGTTTGCCCTATCACCAGATTTGTAATGTGGAATTATGAAGCTAGTTTTCCACTCACTAGGGTAAGTGCCAGTGTCCATAGATATTGAGAAGAATTTAAGAAGTAACAAGGGTATATCACACCCACTGTTTTTGAAAATTATCGAAGCGAGGCCATCCGGTCCCGTACTAGTGGAAGGTTTAAGGCTTTTAATTGCTTGTACTATTAACTGATTAGTGAACACAATGCTTTCAAGGGAAGAGATAGTAAGGGGAGCGGTTTCACCAGGCATATGTGTTTCTAAACTAAAGTTTGCAAACCAATCACTGAAAGTTCACAGATAGTGGCAGGTTCATTGTAGATTACTTTGTCGTGAAGTAAGTATGGGATTTCCCTCGCCGACTGCATTCGTTTTTTAAGAAGTGCCGTTAAGTTATAAACTTTGGAGGTACTTTCAAGTGCCGTTAACTCTTCGTCGAGGTCCTTTTGAGAGCGTAGGCGCTTGAGAGATTCAAGAGACTCGTGGATTGAGAGCAATAGTGATATGTCCTTAGTGGAATAGTACTGTTTCTTCAGCTTCCTTAACTTATTACGGTGTGCCCTTGGAATATATTCAGTTCGGTGTCTACTTAATTTCACTATTTTCTTTGGAGCAACTGTATCTAGACAAAGGGTAACATTCCTGTAAAACAGGGTTACTAAGGCCTCCAGGGAGTCAGTGGTAAA